ACAGTCCCCGAAAGCATCAGCACCTCCCTCCCCCGAGTCAGTCTGTAAAACTCTTACATAAAAGAAGCCATACAAAATGCAGCATTCACCATTTTTAGCTTTGCTGTAATGTATATTGTTTGAACTGAAAGGTTCTCACGTGCCTTTGTTGCAAAATTGCTCAAAACTCCAACTTGTGAGGCTTTAAATAGGTAGTATACAACTGGTAAATTTTGAGTGCCAAAACAGTTTTTTCCTTTATTATAATCTCTGTTAGTAACATAGAAACCTTTGTTAAAACTTCGTAAAAGTTGTCTAACATGGCTGGATTCAGGGTTGACAGCTTTTTTAAAAGCTCTGCCTTATCAGAGGTCATCAAGCTTCCTAGTACCAAACTTGCATGGATTTTACTTGAATAAGTAAAAAAATCCAGAGAGGACTCCCAAGCTGTCTCATCAGTGAGATGAAAAAAGTTTTGACGTTCTTATCTATATTGTGAAATGATATATTAATATACAGATACCCAACCTACCAGAGACCTAAGCCAGTAACTTCAGATGATTCAGTTCAGCATCGCACAGACTTTATCAGCTCAGGTCGAGCTGCAGTGTAATGGCAATGACACAATGCTGTTAACAATCTTGCAAGTACTGCAGTCATTAGCTTGAGTGAAAAGCCAGGTTAATACATCCATACCGCATCCACTCCCAAGCCAGACTGTATTTTACCCACTTAACTACCCTTAAGCGGGGAGCAGACTTGCCCTGCACTTCCTAACTCGGCACAGGAAGAGACTTACAAGGCTAACACCTTATTCTGGCATTACACACTGCCTTAAAATGCTTTATCCTCTGCTGTGCTAAGAGTTCTGCATTTTCAATTCTGTAGCCTGCCTTCCACTTGCAGCTATGTAACCCTTCACCTAAGCTGCCTGGCCAGTGTTTTCCAGAGTTTCTCTAGCTGTATTTTTCCCACGCTGTTATTCTCAAGGACCTTCATCTGCAAATACCAGCACGTTGACAGTGTTGCACCTATACTGTACCGTAGCCCTTCTCGCCTCTGCCCTTTTCCTATCCCTTGGCAGTAGCTTTTGGTATACGTTAGAGAGCCCACTAACACGCATGCACAAAGTTCAATAAGCAGCCAGCATTCAACACCTGCCTTGATGCAGCACTACCAGCATCACAAGCAGGAACAAGCAACAAGGAGCTTGAGCAGGTCCTGATGAAAACAGCAGAATTACTATGGGAAAGTGTTATGGGGAACACTTGCTGCATGGGAAAGGGCACCCAGAGGAAGACGCTCATCTGGAAGACCCCACCGCTTCCCTTCCCAGCTGGCCATTGGGAAAATTGTCCCCTTTGCCTTTTTTTCCTCTCATTTGTCTGCTTTTCTTTTTTCCCTGAAAGTAACTTTCACCTTCAAGTATCAATTTACACCATCACTACAGACCTTGCAAATGGATCTTTGCATGTAAACCTGTTTCAACATCCCCTGTGCAACACACTGCTCATATAACTACGCTCTACTGCATGTGAGAGTGTAGTTCTTCAGAAACTTAAATCAACTCGAGCTGCCCTTAACTTCCAGATACACATTCTTGCCCCCTCTCCAGTGAGGGCACAAGCTCCTGTGTGAGAAGGTGAGGAGGTGTTTAAGGACAGTTGTAAGTCTAGGAGTAAATTCTCCCTTCCTCTCCCCACCGAAACTGATGCACTTCCAAGCAGCTCAACTCCCTGTGCTGGAGCCAGGAAACTTGCAGGGACACAAAGGTTGGGGACAAAGGACGGAGGACGAATCACTGCCACTTCAACATAAGTCATCTTAGCCCGACATGGAAGCTAGCCCTCAACTTTGCATACAAATAGCAGCTCTTAGACCACATTTCCATGAGTTACTGAAAAGGATCTTTTGTGCCACTTGAAACACTAGACTGAACCGGTCTAAAGATATGCCCTGGGATGAACTTAATACTCTATTTTTTCCTCAAGTTATTCATATTGCCAGAATCAAAGTTCCCTACCACAATCTCCTAATCTTAATCTGTATCTTCACCTATCTGAAAAGCACATTTTTTTCAAACAGAGATTAGTAAACGGAATTTAGTCACCATATAGAAGACAAAAACAGCTTCCAACTTAGTTGGCATATTTTGTACCTGTTTTAATAACAGATAATTTACAGTCAGAAATTGATGAAAATTAAAATCTCTTATAACAGATACAGAACCTGCCTGCAGACTTCCCTCCGGTGAGGGCAGGCAGGAGGTGCGCAGCGATCCCAACAGGCAGAGGAGCAGGATCCTGTGCACTGAGGAGCCAGCAACCCACGCTGCAGCCAGCCTGAGCCCGCATGGGCTGTTCTGTGCCGCAGGGCCGGTGCCCAGCATGGCTCGCAGGTCCGGGCTCTGCTGCACAGACCCCTTGGCCACAAGACAGACTTGCTGCAAGAGAGGGGCCCGTGGGCAGCTCCCCTTCGGTACCACCTGCGTGGCCTTGCCTTTATCTAACAGCACAGCAAGAAGTTCTCATGTGAACATCATTTCTGTTTTGACTGTAGCAATGACAGAGCTGTTTCCTTATAAGAAAATCCTGTAAGAGCGTGAATGACCAAGAAAGGGAGGATCTCTGCTGCAGCCGAGGTCTGCATGGCTTTGATGCTATACCACTCGGGGCTCCCAGCATCTAAAGGTGTGGAAGATTATCTGTGCTATTCTCTTCTTATATCGTGAGCTCTAATAAACAGTGTTTTAAATCATACCTTACAGAGTCTAAGTGCCTTTCTTACTGGGATCATAACAGACCAGCACCTCCCAATGCAAAACAAGGCGATGAACAATTATTTCCAACACGGGAGTAGTCCCAAAGCAGTACTATACGGCATCATTCTACTGTTGCCTCTTTACTCTGGTACTTGTGAGCTGGTGTACGCACAGGGGGTATGTGTTTATGCAGACAGGCAGATCTACTTATTCACTACTTAGTTTTAGTTATTTATCAATTTACTAGCCACAGTACTATTAACCACCCTGCGTGGGCAACTGCACTCAAATAAGGACAGTGAAGCAGGCAGCACAGATTCTGGCAGTCTGTCTCACCCTACCTCTTTGCTCGGTGATCAGAAAAATCAAATGCACTTGGCTACCTAATGCGCCCAGAGAAATAAAGCTCATGTACCATTTTAACCTAACATGGGAACATGGTTCCCATGAAAGAAAGTTCCCAAAGAAGCAAACTTAAAGATTACATAAATTTACATGTAAATTTATATTTATAAATAAACTTAAAGATTACTTAAAGATTAGACATACTAATAATTTTCTATGAAAAGAAATAAAAACTTAAAAATAAGCAACTGGTAAGTGTTCTGGGGTTCTGCTTCCACAAATACGTTTCAGTAGCTAAGTTCAGATTCCAGAATTCATATTTTATGTTTTTTACTAGCTTGCATTTTTTCCAGCCTAGCCTTTTTACCTGTTAGTCAAAGTAACCTCATTATAATAGCAATTCAGATAAATGTATGATTTCTAAATATTAACAAAACTCATTTCAGGCACGATAGTTAGCCTTTTAGACCATGACATACGTAAGTGGAGACTCAGGTCTAGACTCATGACTAGAAATACAACACAGGTAATACAATAATCAGGCACCGTTCTGTAGAGTAATGAAAGAGTTTTCTTCCACGTTATTTTCGTTTGTTTGTCTTTTACAGTTGTAGGTACTATTGTTATTAAAAAAACCCAACAGAATGAAATTTTAAAATCCTAAAGTTATAATGATTTAAAAATGTGGGGAAAAGTAGAATAAGGTTAAGTCAACTGAAATATTTTCCTTAGATGATTCTGAGATGCTGTATTTTCATTTGAAACTCCTTAATTTTTAAACATTGCTGTAAATTCAATTTCTAATAAAAGAGCAATTTTGAACCACAACACTTCTTCAGAGTTCATAATCTCATCCTTTTTCATAATTACAAGATGCACAAAAATTAGTAGGAAAACCATTAAGCAAACCTTTATAAAAAAGGCAACATTTTTCACTGATAAAACATGCTATTAGAAATTCCTGACCTGTTTTGGTTTTTTTTTCATATTTTACAGATTACACTTGGTATCACTTTTGGAGCCCCAAAAGACCTAATATATTTCCTCTGTGGAAAAATATGGACAAATAGGAAAAAACCTATCTCAGAGAAAGAAGTTCTTGGGATTGCAAATTAATACATATATTTACCTCATGTTTCTCTCAGACTGTTGCATTAGATACAAATTGCATTTAATTTAGGATGAGCTAGAACAGTTTTTCTATCTATACTAAAATTGCATCAATACCAAAGATGAAGATGTTTCAAAAATTTAGAGCATACTGAAAAAGAAATATTTGGATGGTCAGTTAAGAAAACTGCTCCACCCAGTTATATTTTCAAATTTTGTAATCTTTAAGAATTTGATAGTTTAAAAACAAAGAATACTGTCTTATCAACATTTACTCCAACTTACTACAGTAATCACAGTATTGATGGAGGCCTCTGAATATAGGTTTCTAAACTGTGAAATAAAGGATTTTTCCTAACTAATCACTGAGGATTAAGGAACTGAGATAGTTGACCAGGCAGAATGGTTAAAAAATGGAAACCTGAGAATGGTTTCAAGCTAATTTTCAAAATGCAGCCCTCCTAATTTTATATCCAATTTCTAAGAAAAGAGTGCTTAATTTTTAATGATAGGGATTCCAATCACGTGACACAACAGCAAAGAAAAGCAAAACCTCTCTCTGAAGTTCTCTGCCACCTCAAAGAAAACAGTTGGTTTACGTGCCTTTATTCCTTGTGACATGCTTAGGGCACTTGTCTTCTCTTAGAAGGAGATTACGCGTGTTTCTAAATAAGGCTGCAGAGACTCTCCTTAGTAAAAGTCTTAGTTTCATTTTACTCTGAAATAACCTAGGAAGTTCATGAAGATTTAGAACACATTGATAAGCAAAGGATAAAAAATATCAAATAATAGAAAAAGTACAAACCTCTGATTGTACATGCCCCGGAAATTATAATTTGCTCTGTAATTGGGAATTGGTTTTGGATCTAATGGCCTGTAGATGGCAGGCTCTCCTCTTTTCATAGCCAGACCATTCAGCTCCACTGTTGGCGTTATACTGCCTGCAGAGAACCAAAGAATACACATAAGGAACTTAAACCACAAACACTGCAAAACACACAAGCAGGACTGAGATGAGCAGCAAAGAGAGATCTGCATGACATTTTTTGTTCTTAAATTAAAAAAGAAACAACTACAATGATATTTCAGTTTCTTTAAAAGACAGGAATATAGATGCCAACTTAATCACAAGCAATGAAAAAGAACATATAAACATTTATCTCAGTGCATTCTCTATGCAGTTTCAGTAATCTTCACATATGAATGCGAAAGTCAGTGCTATAATCAAGCTGGTTATTCATCTTTCCAAAGTGCTTATAATAAATTAGGACACTTTCTGAAACTATAAAGATAAAAGAATAACATCTCTTCCCACTGAATACGGTTAAATAAAACCAGAAATAGAGCAAAGAGGCACTGAAACAAGCAGGCAGTAATAGGCATTACTGAATTAATTTGGTAATCTTACAACAAGTTAGAAAAAATGTTTCCTTTGCAAGACCTGAAATAGTCATAAGACTATGACCGACAATTAATATCTAACAATACAACTACTGGGAATCGGTGTCACTACAGCCATCTACTGGTGGCAGAGCAAAAAAAGAAAGCAGCCAGCACTTGCATGGTGTCCAAAATGCCAAATAAAAAGCTACAGTGTGACTTCATTTATTTATTTCTTTTTAAATAAAACACTCAGCTACACTATTGCCTACTTGCGCAGTTGTAAGAAAATGCTAAATGAGCTAAATGTACATTCCAAGATAAAGGAGTTAGTATTTTCTCAAAATATTTTTGTAAGAGGTTCAAATGAATCTAGCCTTAAAACAGCTATGATGAATTTGTCAGTCTGTCACTGAGGCTTTATATGCCAGATTATGAAATTTTTAATGCTTTATTCAAAAACTCCTATCAACAACAATTTTTATATTTTCCAGAGCAAGGAATGACTATGAATACAACTATATAATAAAAATGTAAAATGTCATTTTGATGAGAAGATAACCTGTGCATATACAATACACCTTTTTTAGAGCAAAATTAGTATTAAGTGATACAATGTTTTAATTAATTCTCTTAAAGCCTTTTTCTTTTGTTAGCAGCTTTTCCCTTTAAGAATATGCTCAAAGCCAAAAAAATCTTGAAGCTGAGTAATACTCTGCAATGTCAAGAATCAAACCCAGGATCCCTTTTTATAGAAGTCTGAGCCTCCTGCTTTCTAAATTGCCAAAGTCACAGTGATTGTGAAGGACACAGGGCAAAACCAGAGTCCTGGGTCTGGAGAAGCAGCATATTGATCTCCAAAGGAGCAAGAGAATACTATCGCATCACTCTCAAACAACCCTTAATAGCTAATACTACTCACAAGCTCTTAAAGGAAACTTACTCCTCCTTTTTTCCCAACACAGAGAAGATTAACTGCAAAATTACTCCCTTTTAAGAAAGTGGCTGAGGCAGACTTTTTTTTTTAAAAGGGGGGGAAGAGGCAGAGGGAAATAAAAAGGGAAGAAGGAAAAAGAAGGGAAAAAATGAGTGTAAAAAAAAGGCATAGATGACTTCTTTTTCCTCACCATTTGCTTCATTTTATATTAGTTTCAAATAAAGTTAGGAATATTTTTTCTATCTATTTTATCAAACAAGACAGAAGAGATCACTGAGCATGTGGCTGTGTACCTCAAAAGGTGTTTTTTTGAAGGCAACTCACAGGTAACACCTCAAAATGAAGGATTGAAGACACCAGTATACATTCTTTCTATTACTCAAACAACAGTTTCTAAAGCCATCTGAAAGCTTTTCAAAAGCACAGGTTGCTATGAAGGAAAATTCACAACACAGGAAATTACCTGTCAAAGTTCTCATGCCAAATCCTGACCTTTTATTTACACCACAGATGCAATGTCACAGGATTGGACTAGATAAAATTTCCAGTTTCATTGGAAATTTAGCTAAAATAACTCTTTAGGGAAAATGTTTTACTGTGGTAATAATCGTCAGTTCAATCTGGCTTTGTCCTGTCTGCCTACTGTTGATTACATACAACCGCTCTGTATACATCCAAGCCTTATCTAAATAATATATTCACTTACAGTTTAACAGTTTTAAGTATATGCATTAAAAATTCTCCTGTGCAAACTCACTAGAGGTTCTTCATTATACTATCATACCTGTAAAGACAGCTATGTTGATTCTCATCCTCCAACTTAACCTTGTATCTTGTTAAATGTATTTATTAGTGGTATAATATTCCAACTTCAACAAAGTTTAACATACAGAGGAAAATGTCATACCTGGATTATTGTTAACATTATTTTTGGGTGGTCTAGGCGTTGGTTTGGGAAGGGTAGTTTCATTCAATGCTTTGCTAGCAGCAGCATGTTGGGCCTTTTTAATACTGCTTCCTTCAGCTTCCCATGTCTGTTCTCCGAGAGTCAGCTGCACTGTGAACATCTTCAAAGACAAAGAACAGGTAAACACTGGCAAGATAATCACTGTGGATTAGACCAATCTGTATAAAAACTTCCAGGGCTGAAGAGAAACCATGCTCTCTTTTCGTTATATTCAACTCCCAGATAACAGATCTGATTCTTACAGAGATCAGTGACTCTCTATCAGTGGGCAACATCTGGCCTTGCAAGTGACAAAGTAGAATAGTGTAATGTTAATGTCAACTATCGAAGAACAGAATAATACTTAAACCAAGTAATAATAACTGCAAACCGATCCTCTGCTCTTGGAAGACTATATAAAGGTCAGTTAAAATCACATTTCTTCACACATTTGAATGTGTTTAGTCACTTTACCTGTAGAAAACAGGTAAAGAACGCTACTAAAAGAAAAAGTAATTCTGTAATTATTCCGCATGGATATGAACGACTGCACACTCTTCAAGACAGTGGAGAATTTGGCCCAAATAGTTTTACCCAGTGAAAGAGTTTCTCACACAAACTGATTTCTGAAAATAATGTACATTGTTTGAACAGAGTCACAACTCAAATATGTTCAAAAATATAAAGTAAGAAAGAAAAGAAGTATTATCTTTTTGAATGAAACTGCAGTTCTCTAATGTGCACCCTATAGTGAAGACAGGAACTGTAAACATTCAGAGTTCAGAAATGGACTACTGATAAAGAACATGTATTTCAAAATCTGCAATAGAGGATTATCTCAAGCACTATCTATGCTGTGCAAGTCATGAAGATAAAACTCAATGCATATTAAAGACATTAGATAGAGTCTATCTTCTGTATGATACAAACATGTTCTGTTTAAATTTGAGCATCTAAGAACAAGAGGAGAAACGGTGAGAACTCAATGTCTTACATATAAGGCAGGATTTAATAGTCAGATACACACAGTAAACTGAGATACACCTACCTCAGAAAACAGACTAACTTACCTGAGGTAACATAAAGAAATCTACATATTAGTGTGAATAGTATATAAGTAAAATACTCATTTTGATAGCTATCTGCTCTATAATTTTATAAATTATTTAAACTTGCTAGATCCAGGACGAGGTATCTAGAGATGAGTAGTATGGGCAACCTTTAAATTTGCCCTTACATACATTTTCATCTAGCAGGTACTTGCAAACAAGCGTTTGAACACGAGTATGTGTGTGCCTCCCAACTCAGCCCTATACACATGCACACAGTGCATATGAACCGAAGGCTATAAATACATACTTCTGTCTTAATTACAGGCTTGAGTTTGGGCCTACCATAATTTTCAGAAGCACACTGCAAATCCCCGTATCACAGCTCCTATCGCCATGTCATTTTTTCCTCACAGACAAAGGGGAAGAGAGAAATAGTCTCTTACTCTTGCACTCTGTCAAACCCTACCCCCACCTGAAAGCTAAGCTGGGTATTAAATACCCATAATTGTATAAATCATCTATAAACATAAATCCTCCTTACTAAAATCACTAAAATTTTATTTCTGTACCTGGAGTTTATATATTTTCTATTTTGCATGAAATTATCAGTGTAGTATTTTTATAGGAGGAGAATAATGTTGAATTTCAATAAGAATGTAATGAATAATGGCTACTTATCTACCTATAACTCTCCCCTTAGGACTTAGAGCAATAAACAGGAATTCAAGATAATAAAGGGCTTGCTCCATAGCAGAGCTCTAACCTTCTCACTTACCCCACTTGACAAAAAAATTCCTGCAAAAAAACACACAGAGTAGTAGGTGGGAATTTAATTAAAGGAATAAAACTGCCTAAAACCAAAATCTGGAACAGCCAATGAAGTACTCAAGTTCTGCAAGACCTGAGATGACAGTTCTGCTATGGATTGAGAAGCATTTCTCACCAATTTTCTGAGAAAGTTTGCATTCCTTACATCCAACCTAATTTACTTGATGGCTAAAGAACAGAAATGCAAAGGCCACTGCGCTTTGTGCTTGTTTTCACTCCGCTGTGTTCATAAGGTCAGTCTCCCTTAGCTCTGGCAAGTCTTTCCTCCTCACTTTTTCCTGCACGTGGAACTTACTTTCCTCCTTCCCAGCCTTTTGAAGTGCTACATTCCTTACCCCTTTCCCTCTTCTCTGTACCACCATCCACTTTCTTTTGCCGCTGTTTCTTTTAAATTTGTCGCCTGAGATGCCACTGACATAGAAGCACAGAAGAAATGATCAATCTGACTAACGTATTTGAAAATGTCATTTATGCTAACAAAGACTTTCTGTTTTTTCTTATGATGAAGAATCCACCTGGAGGGCAGACTCCTAGAAACCCTCACTACACTGTCTGGAAGCACCACTTCTCTCCCAAACTCCACAGTTTCTAGTTTCTCATTTCACCCAATTGCCAAAACTTACCTATCAGAGACAACTAGAAAAAAGGATATAAAAATTTACTAGCACTTGTGGTCATGACACAGCTGCCTTGTAGAGCATGCCTCTGAAAATCATTAAAACCACTAGTGTACAGGAACAGGGTATGTGAGGGAGGAACGCAAAGAAACTCCTTAAATGGCAAACAGTGGCAGCATTATATCCTTCACATAATGCTTTCTAGGACAAACTCAGCTCTGTTTCACATATTCTATCAGCTATATCATCATCACCAGGCAAGACATTACACTGAACTGCTAACACAGCCATAATAATTTCTACGTCTCTGCTTTTCATAGGTCAAAGGTACATAAGTCTGCATAATCTTATTAATATCATCCTTGTTCTTCATCCTCTTCCTTCCTTTTGTTGTTCTCATCTGCTGCACAGGTCAAAACTAGACTTAATGTTCTTCTGAGCAACAACCAGTCTACAAAGCACCTATCTTCTTTTTTTTTGACCATTAAAAGACTAATTAAAAATAATAAGAGGTAAACTGAAAAACTGAAAAAATAAGAAATCCATTGAAAATCTGTCTTTCAAAAGTGCAGCTAATGCAGGGTCAAGTAATTGCAATGATATTAGGTCCTTTAAAAATAGTAACAAATATATGTGAACTATTTCTTATTCTGCTAAAATTTAAAGTATAGTATGAATGTAACGTAACTCAAATCTCTTTACTGCTGAGGAATTTGAACACCTAAAACCACACCTTTTGGTACAACCAAAGCACTTCTTATTTCACAATAATGGAAAAAAGGTAACAAAATAAATATATAACACAACAGTGAAATGTTGCAGAAAATGCAACATATTTAACATGCCATAACCTAAAACCAACCAACCAGTGTATCCTGTGGTGCCAAATGCTTCCAGGAAGGGGAAGAGCACTTCGGTTGCCATTCGCAATGAGGGATCCTAAAAACCTGCGAATTTCAGCAGCCCTGCACTTGCTGACATCATTTCCACTAGCATAAAGGATGCATGAATACCAGCCAAAGCAGAAGGTCAGTGATTTGCATCAACTCTGCGCTAGCTGACAACATAACGTGCAAGGGAGAAACAAGAGGCAACGCCAGAGACAGCCTTCAACTAGCTGAAACTGTTACTAATCTGCAGCGTGATCCCACTGTCTCACACGGTTTTGCCACTCTAGAAATACCGAATACAAAGATGCTATTAATTATCCTTTTTTTCTCTCTCCCCGAGTTTTTGATTGCTCCTAATTAGGGAGGAAATTCCATATTGCATCTGAAAATTATCATGAGAATATCCCCCTGTGTTCCACATCATCTGAGAGCATCCTAATTCATACTTATGAAATGAAGTTGGACATCCAAATTGATATGAGAGCTGACCAGAATTAACTGTCAGTTCACTAGAAACTTTAATGCTATAATCATACTAGGACTCTTAATATCACTGTAAATCTTGAGGTTGCACAGAATTTAAAGGGAAGAACTAGTCTTAAAGTTTGTGCCCTATAATGCAAGATCCAAAGATACAGTATCAACGCAATCAACTTCATGGACACAGAATCATATCAATAAGCACTTTAAAAATTGACACAAACTAGCTTTGTCGTCATCTGCAGTACCATGAAACAAATGCAGAGGTAGTCATCAGAGGCACGCCAGCTAGAGAGGGATTCATGTAGCTTAAAAGCAAATCCTCCATAATGATTAAGAAAGGGTGGTGATATCCTGGAAAGACCTTCAGAAGGTCTTTATAGAGACTAACAAATACAAACTCAAAAGTGGTACAAAATTATCTACAGGGCTTTAACAGAAGTACAGACATACTTTCTGAAAGCATTAAAAAAAAAAAAAAAGCAAGCAAAATAAAGAAGAGTAAGAAACACCTTACACTAGAAATGTGGCTGTGTTTGACAAGTGCACTCGTCCAGACCATGACATTATCTGTTCAGCATTTAAGGTATGGCTCATCACCTGGAACTGTGACCTTACCTTGGCATGAGCAGGCCCTCTTTCATTCAGAAGCTTATACTGGGGTTGAATTCTATTGAAACGGGCTAACTCATTTACCAGACACATTGGAGTTTTCTCTTTGGGGTTTGCCATGTTATCTTGGAGAGGAGCTGTAAATAAAGAGTCTGTAAAGTTTTTGTGGAGAAATGTATTCTTCACAACTTCGCAAAGTTTTGCAAAAGCAGCAGCATGCTTAGAAAAGAAAATACTTTGGCTAAAAAATAATTTTAGCACATATGCTAAATACAGTGTTTAAATACCATTTACGTATTAGTCATATCAGAATATGCATTTTACAATAACCATTTTTATTACATGCAATTAAAAAAAACCCCACAACTATTTCTTTCTAAAATGTCTCTATAAAAGATGACAGTGTAGGAGGACATATATATGTGCTACATTCTCTACGTCAGCAAAGTTTATTGTCAGGAGTATACTGGTTCCAGGAACTGACTCCTCTTTCAGAATGGTTTCTCAACACTTTGAAGCAGAAGTGGATGGCATAAGGGTTGCAAGATAAATATAGCAGATGAAGCTCTGTGGTCCCCACTTGCTTCTCCGTGCTTTTTCCCAGTGTTTCAGACTTTTCTCACTATAATGACGTCACTCTCAGAGCACCCCCAAACAGCACCTTTCCTCCTCCTTCAAGGATTTTGTTCTGCTTTTCTTAGACTACTTACTTCATGTATACTGCCTTACTATTTTTTAGCCTTCTGCTATTTCTTTTTCAACTTATTTGTGTTTATCCCTAACACACACTCTCATTTCTTGCTTAATTTTTTGGAATAAAATTTCTGTATTTTATACCCAGTTCAGCATAGGAACTACAGCATTTATTAGGCTACAAAGGAAACACCAAATACTGCCAAGCAGTCTGAAGACATTCTGTTCTAGGGAAGAGAAATACACTTGGAGGCCTTCCTGCACCACTAAAACTTCTCTATAAAAGATAGGCTCAGAATTTGACAAAACAGACATGTTCTTTTCTGGGCTTTTATATCATTGACCAACACTTCACTCTAAGTCTGAGCTCAGTTAAGGGAACTTAACTTAGTAAGCAGTCTATTTAAACAAAAATGTTTTCCTATGGGATTTTTTTTTTTTATTTTAATCCTCTTTAAGACCTAACTTTTTTTACCTTTTTTTTTAAATGAACAAGTCATCAAAAAAGATTCATTTGAACACCAGAGAAAATATACCTGGACCAACCTACCTGGTGAGTTGCTAGAAGGTGCAGGATCCGCAAGGCCGGCAGTAGGACTGCTACAGCTGGCAGCTGATTCTGAAATGGATCCGTTCATTGAGGACGGCAGACCCAGTGTATTTGTATTTGTAACTGGTAGGGGTAGCACCATAGGGGACATGGTAGGTCCGGACAGGTTTGCTGTAGTCTGCATCTTAACTTGTGCCATTGCCTATCACTGCAATAAACATGTTATTATGAGCAGGGCACTTTGCATTTTGAATGTCAAGTGACAGTACTGATATTAACACCACCTCTTTTTTGATCCTGGATCTGGGTCACAAAACTATCCACAAAAGCAATGCCTCTGCAAACATTGCTTCCAAACTGGTGTATAGAGAAACAGAGCTCACAGCCAAGGAACATCACCGGAGCAGAACCCACATGCCCTCACTCCAGGTTCTGTTGCTCAACTGTGGGTTGATCCTGGCTGAAACACAGCAAGAAGAATTATTGTTCTAGAATAAAATTCCATATAATTATTCTGCGGATGAGATTAGCACCTGCAAATTTCTTCAAGAGAGGATGTCTTTGCAACAAACTGCCATAGCAATCTTTTGCCATAGTTTTTTCCAGTAAAGTGCACACAAAATACCAAATAAGGCCACAAGAGGAAATATTTATTTGTTCTGCCTGTTACCAAACTAGAAAAGAGAAAAAAATAAGAGAAAACAAACAAACAAAAAAACAACAAAGTAGCAAGTTCTGAAAAAATCACTCCTTATCCAGTCAACAGGTGGAGCACTTCAATCCTTGTATAAATTACTAGCACAGGTACCAGGATTTCCTAAATTAGCCTTTAATCCAGTGCCTAAAGCATTTACCTGGAATATGCCAGGTACTAATTTATCTCTCTCCATCTGCCCAGATGAGTTTCTTTATTACCAATACCTGTTGTCTGGCTAAGTCCACACTTGTAAATAAACCGCGATCAGGGCACGGCTCCTTCATACTATTCACTGAGTGTATGTTCCTTGGCAAAATTTTGGCTACTGACAAAAAACTCTTGCAAAAACCACAAGGGAGCAGTTCAGAGGCCAGCAAGCTCTCCAGGTAATCCACACAAATAAGCAAGGAGGCAGTCATTTTCAGTCCTCTGGGGAAAAGTCTTGGGCTTCTCCTTTTGGCTTCGGGTGCAGACAGGAGAATGTATTTTATTCAGTAGCATGGACATAGACTGTATTTTTTAGGGTTCATATGCATGGTATGATCTGTACAGAGCAGACAGAGAGACAAAACCCATAACAGCCAACAAACAGCCTGGGGACCTGGGACCTCTCCCAGGAGCTGCTCTGGTCCCTCTGGCTAAGGCAGAGGAGGACTTGGAGCCCAGCTCTCCGCCGCTGCAGGCAGCACCCTTACCAATACGCTCTTTGCCACTTCTGCTGGTGTAAGTCTCTCTTCCTAAGCAAAAAAACCCATCCAACACCTGAAGAACTTTCTAACTATGGTCTTATTGAAACGAGTACAACCATACAAAAATTTTTGATTACATCAGTATTTTTGCCTCCCCCCAAATCCATTTAAAAACATCCAAGTATCTCTACTCAGAGGGACAGTATTGCTGGATTAAGATCCCAAATCATTTGACACACCATAGAGTGCAACTACTTTAGCACAGCTGCACTAGTATAATGAAAATAATAAATCCTATTACTGTGACTCTGTGCTTTGGAGAAGAGGTTCAGACTTGAATGCCATTTTTATTACTGAGGAAAGACAGATGACTGATTTAGATCTCTTGAAAGGCAAAAGTAAAAAATACTAAAAATGAAGCTGCGATGCAATAACTCGCCCTTTTCATAAATATCGTAAGTAAAATGCTAATAGTGGCAGATTTAAAAAATACATATGCAGTCATCTGAGATATATTCAAATATTTCATGTGTCAAAAATATGGATTAAATTCAGACTGTAAAAATCCTACTGCCACTTAACAGCAAATGTCATACCATACAACAGTATTGTTAGAAGGGCCTAACTTAAAGACTGAGAATGTGTATAACTATAGAATTCTTCAGTATAATAAGTGTTTAATTCTGATTTTAAATATATTAGTGTAGCTCAGAATTAATTTTAAAATTAGTATTTAAATAAATTTCTTAATTGTAAACATCAACATCAATGATGGCAGAACCAGGCTATATTTATTCAACATTTTTAAAACTAAACCAACATAATATGAAATATCACCACAGTCTTAGAGTTTTTACAGCATTTTAGCTTATAAACATGAGTACATGAAAGCAATCACTCATATAGTACTGTATGAAATACTACTGAACGCCTATTCTCAGGCCTTGCCAATTGTGAATTATCCTTTCAGCTTCCAGTATTTTGAAAGTTTATTCTTTTTTCCAAGAAAGCAGAACTTACTAATAACCAAATAAAATAATGTGTTCTATGGTATTGCTGTTCTAAAGGGATAAATAGCAGGATTGATCCTTTTCTATTAAGGATTAAAAAAATCAGTTTGATAATAGTATCAAGGAACTGTAAAAGTGAACAAGATAAAGTTTAGGAGAAAAAAAAAAGACACTCTGCCCTACAGTAAAGTACGCAGGAAATTAAATTGTGAAATCAGAATAAAATCATAACATATTAGGTGCTTGGGTTTTCCTATCTATCTAAAGCTATAGAACTCCTACAAGAAACTGTAACTATTTTATAAACTAATCTGTACAAACAAAGATGCCCAGGAAGTGAATATAATTGTGGGGACTAACTCTTAAATACATGAGATGTGGAGATAATAAATTTGTAATCAGTTCTAAAAATCCACTAGTAGTGAGAGACAACAGAGAGAATATAGTTGATACAGCGCTGTCGTCATTTTCACACTACCAAGCAAATAATCTTTGATGTCATGACAAAAAGGTGACAAAACCTATGTGCTCTGTCTTCTCTTTACATTTTTTTACATAAACACCAGTGCTGTTCTATTTTATAAACAGTGAAGTAAAAACATTTTGGAGCCTTCCAGCCATGAGTACAGACCAGTTTGCTACTACACAACAAAATGTAGGACTTAGGGTAGAGAGATTTCACTAAGATGGTCAGAGATGAAATGCAGTTATATAATCAAAATATTTTTAAATCTTTTATGTGAACATTTTTGAAAAATCTGTCATAGTTTAAAAAAAAAGGCATAGTTTATACAGGATGTTACGAATACGAATGGAAAAGCTCCCACACCCCGTTTCAGGTGGCTAACCCAACTCACGTCTAGGAAACCAAACCGCTACACCCAAGTGTCTCCAGAGGAGTTTCCCTCGATGCTAGGCAGTGGTTACAGACGCCTGGATCTCTCTGAAAAAACTGGACTGCGCAGCTGTGACTGCCAGCGTTGTGTCTTTATCGAGCCGCCAGCTGCGTGCTGAGACATCACAGCGATGATATTTCTTGCATTCTTAATCACCTACACGTCTATCCAGTCTAAGTCCGCAAGTCACAGTGCTGCCATTTTGGTAAAGTCATATTCCAGAGCTTATGGTGACTTCTGAAATGCTGCAGTGTTTTTTCCTCTCTTACTCTAACCTGCACAGCTGTATTAGAAATGCTATAGCAGGCATTTAAAGGGATGTAAATATACTATAATTGCATTTCACTGCATTTCTGCTGTTGAAAGCACTTTGTCTGTAGGCAATTACACAGGTTCCATTAAACGGTTGGTATTAACTTTCTTCTTAAACTATGTATAAGCTGTAAATTTCCCCCTCACACTAAAAATAACCAAAACAAACTCACATTAAAACAACAAATCTGCCTCCCATTTTAAAGTGAAAATACTGCTGTCAAGTTTTTTCCATTCATTTTTCTTCTAAGTTAGGAAACACAACACTAATTTAGTTATATTCACAGATGAAGAATATTTTTAACTGTGAAGACACTTGTGTCATGCTAAAAAGCACCACACCGTAAAGAATTACATATTTTTTTCTGATTACTATAATTTCTTGAACTGTTCTGGAACATGAATCTCTTAATATCTGTATGTCTTATGACATAAGATGTAAATTAAATGCACAGGTGAAATGATTCTTAGAATATGTCACACCAATTGAATAAATAAAGACAGATAACGTAGGTAAGACAGCACAGAAGGTAGAAAACATGAACAATGAGTTTTCAAGTTAAATACACTTCCACAATGTGGAATATTTGAAAAAGAAATACTTGACTTGAAACACAAGTTGTTGTATGAAAAAACAACAGTTTTGACCTGAACAGCTGAAATGGAAGACTGGACTGCATCTGTGCAGAAAGTGAAAATGCTCCGTCATACAACCCAACATACCAAACCCAAGCTGTGCACAAGTATGTAACACAGGGCACGTACTATGTATTTGTGAAGGTACAGCGGAGGGCCCGCTACTGCTGAGAAAGAAAAATTACTTGACATATCTTGTATCTCATATACCCAATACTTCTGCTTATACATTCTAATCGGTGCCTGTTTTTCACAGCAGTATCACATTAATGATCCCAGGTCCTTTTCTGCAGAACTGCTACCCAGCAAGTTCCAGCCTATGCTCTGTGTGTGACTCTGACTCTTCTGCAGCTAATGAGACTTTGTTCTGGTCTTACTTGAATTCCCTTATAAAAAAAAAAAAAAAAAAACAGACAGCAAAAAGAAAAAGACAGTCATTTCAGTTTTTCAAGAAAACATTGACTTCTAATTCTAGTTCTAAAATGTTTGCAGTCTCTTCTAAGCCTGCTTTATAGCATCTACAAATTTAATAAGTGTACTGTTTTATCCATATCATTAATGAAAACACTGAAAACTACAGGAACAGTGTTACAATAGGCTGGGGGCAGTGTCTAAGCGGGCAGCATCTCAGAGCTTTTTTCCAGACCAGCCCCTGCTTTAGTTAGCAGCTTGTTAATACAATTTTTCTGTAAAAGCCCCAAGTCACAGTATATCCTAATAGACCTAACAGCTTCCTAACTAAGGAGGGTTTGGCTTTAGTTTTAGCCTTAAAGTTCCATTAAACTCTCCATTCTCCTTCTAGTCTCCTGATATCACTTCACTTAGTTACACAAAAGCATACAAGGCTGCCAAATGGTAAAATGTATTTCTTGCATGCCATTTCTCACATTTACAGTAAATATTTATACATTTATGTACATCAATATAAAAAGTACTACAGAAGTCCTATGCTTTATGTAATTTCTTTTTACT